TGTGGTGATAGTGGGCTTCTGTGCTATGCACCACACGCTTTTGAGCAGACAAGGCGCTCAACTGCTCTAGAGCCGTGCTCGGCCCTTGTGACTCACACGACTTACCCACATGCGCGCACACACCAAAGCCATGTTTCTCCTTGAATCAACAAAAGCAAACCTCCCGGGAATCAGTGTGGCTGCCTTGATTCTCGCTTGCTTGGTGGTTGAAGACGACGGCGTGCTTGCACTGCCCCTGCCCTTGACCTCGTTACTCTCGCGTTTTTGTTCAACTGCTGGACTGATCAATTTGTTTCCGCTAAAGTCACACTGCTGCGGCATTGGCAGCGCGTGCTATTGGCGGCGCGTGCCTCCGCTTTGTTTTGCAGCGTGGTGCCAGCAGCGCTCGCTCATCGCCCTGGCAGAGCGAGGCTGCCTGTTGACTGGTCAACGGGCGCACGCGCAGTGCTTACGCAACAGCGCCGCCAAGGCCTGGAGGCTTATCCAGATACCGTATTTTTTGCATTGTCTTGTGCGGGTTTGTGAGGCCGCGGGATCGTGTTACGCCTTGCAGCCGCCCTGCTGTATCGGCAACGTCAGCTGGGGATCCCTCGCACTCAGGATGCCGTTGCAGTGACGCCATTCGCGTGTATGCCTTCTGCTCCCGCCGCACGTAATATGCTGTGGTCCATGCCTCACAACTAAGGGTCGTGTGTATTGTCTGTCCGCTCGATCGCGCACAGCGCGAGATCGTCTGGCGCAATATTCTCATGTTGCCAGGATGCCAGACAAGGAGATAGATATAGCAGATTATAGGTACGTGTGGACAGCCTTGGGGGCTACCCTGGGCCAGGGGGCACCCACGCGGGCTCCGGTAGGAACGAGGGAACGAAGAGCAAGCCCGGTCATGCGTTTGGGCAAAGCAAAAAGGGAGCATGGCGGTCACTTTTGAGATGAGCGTCCCGCTTAACAGCCAGTGCACCTCGTCACACACCCAACATGGCGATCGATCGGCGCGCAGACCTGGGTCGCGAGCAATTCGCACACGCCGGACCCCCGCGCGTTCTCGGTAGGCGCGGCGGCGCCGCTCGCGACATGTGCGACCAGAAGCACGAGCCCGCGGCCGAGCCCGCCGTCGTGCTCGCAGAGCCCCCCACCCTCGACCGCCACCGCCTCGAGTTGGTGCAGCGGCTCGCCGCGCGCCTGCAGCAGCAGGGCGGCGCCGGCGGCGCGGGCGACAGCGGTGGCGCGCCGGTGGCCATCGTGGCGGTGTCCGGCTGGGACAGCTGCTGGCACGCTGAGTCGTCCGCGTTCCTGGACTGGCTCTGCGGCGGCGCGGCGCCCGCGGACACTCTCGCGGTCGTCACCGCCGCCGCCGCCGCCGTGCTCTGCCCGGCCCCCGCCCCCGCGCGGGCCGCCAATGGCGCCGGCGGCTACACCGCGGCGCGGCCGCGGCAGCGGCGCGGCAGCAGGGGCGATCCAACGGCAGACTGCCAAGACCTATCAGAAGAGGCGGCCCTCGCGGCACTGGCCGCCGATCCGAAAGTTTCCGCCTTCCGGCGCCTGCTCGCCGCCGCAGGCGCCGGCGCAGCGCCCCGGCTCGCCGCGCCGCTCGGCTGGGAGGTCGCCGGCGGCGCCCTCCGGCGCGCGGGCACCTGCGACGTCGCCGACGGCGGCGACTGCGGCGGCGGCGGGCCGCTGGCGCGGTGGCCGTTGGTGCAGGCGGTGGAGGCGTTGGAAGGGGACGCGCTGCCGGGGCGGTTCGAGGTGCGCGCGCGCACGCGCGTGCCCCCAAACCGCACCCCGCGTTTGCGGCCGCAAGCCTTATCGCCTTTGCTGTGTTTGCCGGTGCTCGGCTTTGTTTTGTTTGCCGTCCCCGGGCTCTGTCCGTGCCTGTTGGTCCCAGTTAGCCCTCAGCTGCCCGGCCAGAAGCTGCCTCATCGGCGACTTGGCGTCAATCGATCTACTTGCGCACCCTCAGCCCTCTGCGCTCCAGACGGCCGCAGCCGAGCGACCGCAACGACGCGTTTTCCGCCCCTGAGTGGCAGCAGCCCGCCGCCAACCTGCCGCCATCCGACCGCCGACCGACCGACCGCCCTCCCTGCGCCCGCCGCAGGAGGTGCTAGATGTGTCTTATGAGCTACGCGCCCTGATGGGCCGCGCCGACGCGCGCGCGGCGCGCGCGCTGCTTTCCGAGCGCGCCCCCGCGCTGCGGCGCGCGTGGGGGGAGGTGCAGGGGCTCATCGGCCGCACGTCGCCGGTGGCGCGGGGGGTGGAGCTGTCGGAGGAGCAGGTGGGTGCCTTTTCAGCTTCCAGGGGCGCACGCGTACGGCGTGGCGCGCCAAGCGGCAGGACCCTCGCGCCCCGCCTCAGCGGCGAGTCGCGAGCACCGCCCCAAAAACATGACACA